TTACCATCGCCAATATTATTCTTTTCGTCACAATAATTGTAAAAACAAAGAGTAAATAACATTACTATCATCATTAAAGTCATAATAATTGCAACTGCCACCATTATTGCAATATTCATTAAAGGCATAACCATTGCAACTGCCACCATTATTGCAATATTCATAAATTGCAATGCCAATATTCATTAAAGGCAATTGCAACTGCCCATATTGCAATATTCATTAAAGGCATAACCATTGCAACTGCCACCATTATTGCAATATTCATTAAAGGCATAACCATTGCAACTGCCACATTATTGCAATATTAATTCAAGACAATTATTTCAACTGCCACCATTATTGCAATATCATTAAAGGCATAACCATTGCAACTTTCCTCCATTATTGCAATATTCATTAAAGGCATAACCATTGCAACTGCCACCATTATTGCAATATTCATTAAAGGCATAACCATTGCAACTGCCACCATTATTGCAATATTATTAAAAGGAACCATTGCAACTTTCCACCGTTATTGCAATATTCATTAAAGGCATAACCATTGCAACTTTCCTCCATTATTGCAATATTCATTAAAGGCATAACCATTGCAACTGCACCATTTATGCAATATTAATTTCAAGACACCATTGCAACTGCCACCATTATTGCAACATTCATTAAAGGCATAACCATTGAACTTTCCTCATTATTGCAACATTCATTAAAGGCATAACCATGCAACTGCCACCATTACATGCAACATTCATTTAAAGGCATTAACCATTGCAACTGCCACCATTATTGCAATATTCCAGAATGCAAAAAGAAGAAACGATGCACGCAGAGGGACGGTTATTGCACGAAAGATAATTGCAAGAACGGCGAGCGAGAAGTCCAGGGCGGTTGCAGAGGGGAGCAATGCCGATGTTGCGCAAGTGAAGGTATGCTGATTGCACGCACGGGCATAGAAATTCATGTGTGTGTGCATGGAGTGTGCATCTATGTGCATATCATCATAATATTACATATATACTATAATTTAATTAATATATATATATATAATTATATATAATATAATGTGTGTGTGTGTGTGTGTTGTGTGTGTGTGTGTGTGTTGTGTGTGTGGTGTGCGTGTGGTGTGTGTGTGCGTGTGTGTGTGTCTTATGTGCACACATCACACACACACACACACACCACACATCATATCATCACACCTATCACTATCACATCACCTCCTATCATCCCACACAACAACACCACAGTTTTCTGGAATACAATCTAAAAAAATGATCCACGAACTGTATACATACAACACTAAAAAAACATAAAGACTTTTAACACTAAGAAAGAGGTAAAAGACACAAAAAACTTAACTAGTACAACTAAAATTGCTAACTGTTACTTGTAACATTAAGATTAATGTACTACGCTACACTATTACTAATAACTGCACTACTACCATAAAAAACTGCTACAACAAATATACTACAATACTAGCAAGAACTACAAATACTACAACAATTATTACTACACTACTGCTACAAATGTTACAACTACAAGTACTTTTGCTATGGCTACAACTACAACTACTACAAACTGCTATAACTACCTCCACCAACACACTACTACTACTGTCACTCCGACTACAACTACTACAACTACTACTAACTCCACCACAACTACTACTACTAGTACTATTATTAATCAACAAATATTACTACTAATAATGATGATAATATCATTTTCATCACCATCACTCTCTGCATCATTGCAACTGATTTATGCAATCATCACTTTATATCATACATATTTCTAAATATCTCTAAAACTCGCTTCTTTCTATCAATGATAAAAGCACTCATAAAAATCAGCGGTTTTAAATAAGGATAGAAATTAACCTCAATAAGATTAATAAATTTTAATTCAATAACTAAGTTGTCTCCCAGTACTAAAGAGATTGGCAGTTTTTATCACCGTTAACAAAAATAACCTTTTTTCCTTTTCCAGACTGCAAATATAAAAACAAGTGAAGAAGAACAAAGGTCCTGCACGAAGGAGAATGCAGAACAACGAGAGAAATTCTTAAGGTTGCAGAGGGAAAGACTGCCGTTGTTGCGCACCGGAGGAAGGTATTCAAATTTCCGTTATTTTCGTTATTTTCCGTTAACGGTCGCATTGGATGGATTGCTTCGTAAATATTTATTTTTATTTTATTATTTGAAAATTATATATATTTTTTTTTTAATTGATTATTCTTTTTTGTTTATTTTTTTATGTAGTTATTATCTTTGGATGAAATAATAATTCAGACACGGGGTTGAAATAAAAGGAAAAGAAAAAAATATCTTGTATGTTTGCGCTTTTTTTCTCATTTTATTTGTTCCACATTTTTTTAAAGGATTATAGAACCCTTAATACGGTTGCTGAAACTTCAAGTCGAAAATTTATATTCACGTAAATTACTACAGCTTGAAATTTTTATTTTCTAGCAAACTTAGTCTAACCTAAACAA